GCAACACGGAAGCGGGGTAGACACTTCCTCAATCTCCGAACCTCCGTTTCCGTAAAACAATGATACTTCCCCAGCTGTTCAGCCCTCTTCTGCTTTACCGGTTTGGATCGGGGCATCCGAGTCATTTGGCCCCATGGCCTGGATGACTTGCGAGGAGTGCCAGCAGCAGGGTTAGTCCCTGTGGGTGCTGGGGTTGCTGTATTGGTGCAACTTGGGAACCAGGGGGATTCATGTGGCCATCATTCACCCGCCCCCCACTTTTTCTCCTGCTGCTGATTTTAGCCCCAAACCATGCCTAAAACCCCAGATTCTCCAGCCTGGGCCTTACACTCCCACCCTTTGTTTAAAAGAGAAACCCTTCAGAGCAAGGGCTGTTTCAATAGACTAAGGCCTGCCCGGCACCCTCCAAAAATACGCTGAGTGAATGAAATGGAAATCGTGCTATCATTTTCCCCCCTTTTCTGCCTCCTCTGCTCTGTTTTTTCCCTTGCTCCCTCTGCTATTCTCAGCCCTGCCCTCTGTGTGCTCGCTCATCCCTCAGTTGGCAATGGATGCAATGAATTCTCTCAGATGCAATTAATTCGTGAGCTGTGAACGTGCCACTCTGCCTCATCCGCCCCGGTGGCTGTTCTTTGAACCCCTTTGTCTCCCAGCCATGGGTCACCCGTTTTGACATCTTTTGCTCTTCAGATTGGACATTGTTAATCTCTCCCCCGGCCTGGCGGCTGAGCCGATGTCTCTTGCACGGCAGCTAGACTAACACTCCTTTATCCCAGTGCTCACCTTTAATCCTCTTGTTCTCTCTAATCATTGTCCTAAATCAAACCTGTCTTTTCGTTTTAAAGTCCCGAGGCAACTCATGTCCCTAGTGCTTCCATCACACCTCTCCCAGAATTCACTCAAATAAGCACTTTCAGTCTGGCCCGAGGCCATCCGACAGCACAGAAGCTGATTTGGCTCATGAATGACCTCTTCCTTAGCTGGGATTCGGAGCCTATTTCGTTGCTGGCTCACTCTGATTTTGCTACTGCCTTTTCATTTCTAAACTGCCTACGGAGTAAGTCTTATGAGTCTGCCTCCAGTGTTTAATGGGGACTCCAGCGGGTGCATCCACATATCTCAGGCTCGGCGAGAGCAGCGTGGGCTAGTGATATAAGCAGAGGCCAGGGAGCCAGGCACTGAAGGTGCTTTCTCAGCTGAACCCGTGTGGGGAACTGTTAAGCTCTTCGCACCCATTTCCCCCACCTGGGAAATGGGATCCCAAGCACTTATTTGCAGGCATGTCACAAGAAGTTATTTATATGGGAGAAAGACTTGTAGGTGAAAAGTGCTCTTTGGTGTATCAGCCACCTGGTCAAATCATTAATCTCATCTGGGTACCGGGGTAATGATGACACAGTTGTGTCTGAAGTCAAGAGCTATCATCACATCTGTCCCTCTTTGACTTCCCAGTTTAAATGACCACATATCCTTTTACATCTGGGTCCACAGAGGGGTGCAATGCAAATCCAGAATGGGGGTTTGAACACACAGCTCTGGAGCTTTAGTAAGAGCCCTTAATTGTTCATTCATCATAGCCCAGCAGCAGTGACTTGGCACAGCGATAGCATAAAAACGGGGTTTCCAGAGTCTTCCCCTATTTGACACGCTTATAAACAGGTTGAAAAGTTTTGTTCTTGGGCTGACAGTTTCCAGAGGACACAGCTCAGTGGTGATTTTGTTATTGGGAGTCTGAGATGAATACCCCAGCCATTTGTGTCTGTCTGTGTGTTGAGGAAGGACTTCATTTTCCAGCACTGTGGGACCAGGGATATTTTTTTGGTCATCAGTCACACCAGAGCAGCTAAGCCCATAATCAAAGTGGGCAAAATATCAATGTGCCCAGCCCAGATTCAAGCGCTGGCCTTTTAGGATGATGGGAAGCTCCTTTTGTAGTCCAAGTGGAAAACTCTGCAGATAACGCGAGCTGGTCTAGTGGACTGAGGCTATTTTCTACTAAGAACTTATCTTAGCTAGGAGTGTTAATAAAGTAAATCTTTTTTACACTGGGTGTTCAAGTTGTCACTTATTTACAATGGTGTTCAAGTCAAGTCCATCCCAAGGCTGCTGCAACCGCTGTACCACCTTCAATGCTGTAACAACCCTCCTCCTCTCCACCCTGTGTTGGGCTAGCTTTGCGCAATCTGCTAGTTAAAGCCCTGTCCAGTCCTTGATATTGGTTCCCCAGTTCTTCTTGGGTCTACCAAGAAGCATTACTGTGCTGCATTAAGCTCTTCTTGGGTGTACAGATGGTGTTCAACCTCTTCAAATCTCCTTGCAGACACTTGCATTTCAATAATAGTGTGGCTTATTTTGGTTTAGCTTGAATAAACCAATTTGAACTAAATCACATATAACCTCATTTAAACCAAAATAAGTTTGTTGCCCCTTCCACCTGTTTAAACAGGATGGTTTTAAAACCCACCTTCCATTGCATTGGCACAGCTTTCTTACATGACCTGCTGTGGTGGCTGGGCTGGAGCATGTTTACAAACAGGTTCTCTAATTGTGGATGCTTCACATGTTGGGAGACCAGATTTTGATCCTGATAGCTTTCTATCCTGGTCCTGATCCTGGTTTTCAAACCTCCGAATGAAGTCATTGCTTCTTGTAAATCAAGGGAAGATGTGACATTTTTAAAAGCTGGGTCCTAGGGGAGTTCAACAGAGCACTCGGTACTGGGCTCCAGTCTGCACACTTACAGACATGCTGCACTTGACTGCACTGTGAGCACTACGGACCCAGGCTTACCAGTTGCATGCTAGCTCAGGTACGCCTACGTGAGCCGTGACATGCCTCTGACTGCAGTGCAGACGTAATCTATGTAAAACCAGCACCATCTTGCTCAACAGCTCCACTCTCTGGGGCCTATTTAGGATTTGGGCAGAAAGTTAGAAAAAAAAAACCCACCCAAAAAAAGATTCACTTACATGTTTATGAAGCATTTCTTTTTAATGTTTAAATGTTTTTGTATTCATGTGCTTTCTTACACTGAGTGATCAAATCTTCTGCCATTAGCCTTAGTGACAACAACAGCGACAATAACAGCTGCCACTTATCCCCTACAAAAAAAGATACTGCTTTATTTTTGTGAAAGGTGATATTGTACAAAAAATACAGAAAACGTACGTAAAAATAAGTTATCTTTCTGCCTTTTCCTTTTGTATGTCGCAGAGACCTCAGTGGCACTACCTGCATGAAGGTAAGCATGAGTGATTGCAAAGTATGGGTATTTAGATTAACTCTTTAGAACAGACTTGGTCTCCCTCAGAGCTTGTATGACACCTAGAACAACAAAGCCTAAGGATTTGGATACTACTATAATATAAATACTAATAAATAAAATGGCAGGACTTCCCAACATACTGTACTTATTTGCATACCACATACCCTCCAATAAGACGTGCACCTTGTTTTGGGAAGGCAAATCTTTCCTTTCAACCAAACTGTTCAGAACCAGTTTCCTCCTTTAAGACACAAACCCCCAATTTTTTATCACTAGATCTTGGGGAAAATAGGTGGGTATGACAAATAAAATAAATAAAATACTTTATTTTCTGGGTGGGGATATTGCTTATTTTTTGAGCTGTTGTTCTTTTATGCTAACAAAACTGAATATGATCTAGTACACTTCTGAATACTAATAATGTTGAAAGAACGTCAACGATTTTTATTACTTGCGTTGGTACCATTGTTCTGGTAGGCTTGCAGTGTTTTTATAGCAGTAATGGTCTAGGAAATGTCTGAGAGTTTTTTTGTTTGACAGTCCCAGTGTTTTTTGTGATCCCTTATTAGGCCAGCTGCACAGCTGAGATGTTGGACTAACTTTTGGGCATAAATAGTGCCCTTCCTCAGGTCAGGACTTGATGCCTGAAAGCATACAGTTGATCCAATTAAACATTTCCCGAAACTACAGTTCTGTCAAAGGCAGGGTAGAGCTGCATCTTACAATGGACGTGATGAAATGAGCTCTGCCCCACAGAAGCTTGTGCTACATATACAGAGAGAGAGAGAGAGAGAGAGAGAGAGAGAGAGAGAGAGAGAGAGTGTGTGTGTGTCCATCTGCTTTAGATTATAAGGTCCAAATCTATCCTACCATCTACCAGACTCACACAGCTAACTATGTCTATCTACCATAGCTGGGTCTTTCCTGATTCTTCTATGGGCTCATAGTGCCATCTATAGATTTGTTCTGATGTTACACTAAGCCTCCAGGCCCCTCCAAAAATAGAAATGGAAATAAATATTTAACTGGAAATAAAAGTCTCTCATGAAAAATAATTAGAAAAGTGAAAACTTGAGCTGACATGAACAAATAGGAGCATTTTTGTTTTGTCAGGAAAAAAAAAAAAAGGATTCAGGAGCATGCTCCTAACACGTTCAGAAAGGAGGACCGTCTTGGAAACTAGATTTTCCCACTCCCATTCAGAAAAGAAACAGGCATAAATGCTTGAAAGGAGGATTTTGGTGAGGAGGAATCAGACTAGGCTCAGAAATAACTTCCTAGCTGCGTAACCTATGACTCCACTGCAAGGGGGAAAGGGATAGAAGCTGCATTGGTTGGGGGGAAAGTGGCATTTTGGGCTGCAGATGTGAGGTTTGGATTGGACCAAGTCCTGAATCGTATCAAAACAGGCAGGAGTTGGGGGAGACGAGGGTTTACCCAAACAGCAGCTGGAGTGGCAATTAACTGGAATCAGGTCTGACCATCCAGGGGGCAACGCGTTAATTCGGATACGTCCCAGGTGCTCCACGTGGAGCCCCAGCCCGGGATTGCACTGAGCTGTCTGCGCAGATGCCTGACTTCTTCCGCGCCCAGACCCGAGAGGGGGGCAGCTCCTTCTCAATAACGTCGGCTTCCTTCTATTTCCTCCAGTCCCGTTTCTTCCCCGGAACAAGCTTCTCGCTGTTATCCTTCCCTGGCTTTTCCATCAGGCAAAGCTTAGCCACCTCTTTATGCGCCCCGCGAGAGGGAGGCCCCTTCCCAAGATGGCGGTGCCGGCATGTGCCGGCGACTTGCGCGCTGCGTGACATGGAAGGCCCCCAGGATGGCGATGCTGGCGGAGCGTGAGTGTCCGCGCAGGAGGGGTGAACCATTCCGTTCCCGGGGAGAGGGGGCGACCACTGCTCAGCACCCAGGACCCTTGCGGGGGGAACACCCTTGGGGTGGAAGATACCGTGTGGGAGCGGGGGTGGGGAAGGGGCTGGAAGATACCGTGGTGGGGGGAGCACCCTTGTAGAGGGAGGGGTGGAAGATACCCTGTGGGGGTGGGGGGGAGTACCATTATAGAGGAAGGGCTGGAAGATGCAATGTGGGAGCGGAGGGGAGCGCTCTCGTAAAGGAAGGTTCTGGAAAATACCATGTGGGGAGGGGAGAACCCTTGTAGAGGAAGGGGTGGAAGATACCATGTGGGGGGAGCACCCTTGTAGAGGAAGGGGCTGGAAGATACCATGTGAGCCTGAGAAGGGGGGGTGCCTCTTTTGGAAGGGTCCATTAAGCTTCTGGGGGAAAGGAAGAAACCATTATCTTTGGCGGGGGTGAACCTCATCCCCTATGCGAAGGAGCTCCCTGGAAGACAGGGATGCTGAGGCCTGGGCTCTACCAATGCAGCTTAGTGTAAGGGGAGGGGGTGGGAGTGGGAGCAACCACTGACATGCTTGGAGGGGGGCCTGAGTGCCAGCCCTGTGTGGGGCAGGGCAGCCTGCTCTGGGCAGGAAGGACTGCTGGGGTGAAATAACCCCAGTGAGGTGTGTGTCCAGTCTCCTGGACTGGTTAGGGGCTGGGGGAAATGGGCTGATTTAGTCTGCAGAAGAGAAGACCAAAGAGGAATTTGATAGCAGCCTTCACCTCCCTGCAGGGGGCTGCAAAGAGGATGGAGCTGGACTATTCCTAGTGGGGGCAGGTAACAGGATAAGGAGCAATGGGCTCAAATTGCAGCAAGGGAGGCTTAGGTTAGATATTAGGAAGAATTTTGTCACTAGGAGGATAACAAAACACTGGAACAGGCTTTCAGGAGAAGTGGTGGACTCTCCATCCTTGGAGGTTTTTAAGACCCAACTAGACAAAGCCTTGGCTGGGATGATGTAGTTGGGGCTGGTCCTGCTTTGAGCAGGGGGTTGGACAAGATTTGACTTCCTGAGGTCCCTCCAGCCCTCATTTTCTATGTTTCTAATGATAAAAACAATTTGTAAAATAGGAGCAACATGACTAGGAGCAGCAAACATGAGAATGGCAGAGTAAAGGGTGGTCTGACTGGGGGAACATCAAGACCAGTGAAAAAGAGAGGGTCATTACCACGTGCGATTTGGACGGGATCGGGTAGATGACAATGAGACGTGAAGTCAGTTGACTCCCACAGCACTGCCTGACTAGAAATGCTGCTGCCGCTGCCAGGCAGTTGGCTTTCAACTTGGGGTGGGGAGCAGGGCAAATGCACAAGTATCTCTCCCCAGCTTCCCTTCCTCCCCTCCGCCCCCCAGTCTGCCCTGGCTGGAGCCATTCTTTTACTGCAGAGAGTCAGGCAGCGCTGGGGCAGAATGATGTGGACCCTCTGGGTTCCTATTTGAAATCTCTGGTTTTACCTTATGAATCAAATTGGCCCATCTCTACCCTGGTGTGGCTCCCCACTGCCCCCTTGGAAAGATCTCAAGGCACCCCAGCCTGCTGCAACACCATGGTTGGGAATCACTGCCCTCGGGACTTGGTATGGGCTTAGTGGCCCGCGTAGGTGGTAGTCGTATGGCACTTGGTGCAGCAGGTGGCTTACACCATCTGTGATGCATTTGTATTATGTGCCCTTTGCATTTGGGCAAGGGGGTATTTGCCTGGGGTCTCCAGTCCTTTTTTCTATTTACTCTCTCTGGTTTTATTGTAATGCTGCCAGGTTGTGGGATCGAGCTCAGGGTCATAGTCTTTATCTTTAAGGCACTCGGCAGCTGCCCAGAAAATCTGCGAGCTTACTTAGAGCGCCAGGGTGAAGACCATGGTCTGCTTCTCTGGTGCAGTGGATTCAGTCACAGGTATAAAGCTCAACTGAGCAGAAGATGGGTCCTTTTCATGACTAGAAAGGAGCTCCCACTGGGACTATCACAGTCCTCCCCATCTTCTGCCCCATGTGCATCTCGGTGACCTGTCTTTCCCCAAAATAACCATACAGCAGTGCATGCGTAGTAAACAGGAAATCTCCACTGCTCGACCACACTTCTCCTCCTGGGTAGGGGACAGGCATCTTCTGCTAGCCATGTAGCCCCATTATTTAAAGGACGCCTCATTGTTTGGTGGAAGGCGCATGCAACGACTGTCCTGTAAGAACTGATGTAGGGATGTAATGGAGTGAGTTTCTTTGTAAGCTGATGGTTGTTATTTCGGCTCAACAATGGCTGTAACTTTAATTCTTGTCCAGGCCCACAGAGCTTTTGAATGCATATTTCTCTCTTCTTTTAACATTATGTTTAAGGAAATGTGTGCCTACAGGATTAGGGCTGAAATATGTACCTAGCCTTTGACTTAATGCATCTCAGAGATGTACATCTGACTTCATAAGCGTGAAACTGTAAGCACACATAGAATTACTGTATTTACCTGAATCCAAGATGACTTTGAATTTAAGACGTCCCTCCAGTAATTAGATTTTCTACGTGGGAGACTTATGTGTTTGCTATCATTTTTCATGTAAGGTATCTAATTATTGGAGGGACGTTTTAAATTCATCCCCTGCACCACTGCAGTGAGGAAAGCGGTAGCAGGGAGGCAAGCAGCAATGGGAAGATAGGTGGGGGGCACCTGCTCCTTGCTCCCCACCACTTTATCCCCTCTGTTGTTCCCTCTTGTGGTTCCTGTGCCCCTGGCACCTGTCCTCCCTGACTACTTGCCTTCTCCTGCTTGGCCCCCATCTGCTGCTTGCTGCTTACTCTCAGTCATGGCTCTTGCCGTCCTGCAGCCTGGGGCACAAAGCATATGATGGCTCTGGTCCCCTGCCTAGTCAGACATCAGTGGATGTGGCAGAAGCTCCATTCCTGGATGTGGGCCAGAACCAGAGCTGGGAACAAGGTTGGAGCTGCCACTGCTGCTGTCTGGCTGGGCAGGTGCAGGTTAGGGCCAAAGCTGCATCTAAGGGTAGGTGGCTGGGGGGAGCCACTCCTCCTCCAGTTTGCTCCCCTGCCCTTTGTTTTTGAATCCAAGACAAGGATTCTCCCACCCACGTTGAGTGGGGGTGGGGGAAAAACCTTAACTCAGATTCAAGTAAATGCGGTGTTTTAAGTGCAGTCTTCCCAATTGCACAGGTTTTCTGAAGTGCATGATGTCTGACACAGTCATTAACAGGTTCTGACAAATCAGCCCCAGGGTTAATGTTTATCCTTGTACAGGTTTCCCTTGCTTTATGTGGGTTCTGTATGTTCAAATTCGCTCTTATTCGATGACCCTTTTTATACCAAAAAATCTTTATATGCAAGGTAAATTCACTGAAACCCACAGTCAGCTGCTTCGTGCAGTGCATTGTGGGAATGATGCGCACCAAAGTATAGTCTGCTGTGTGGATCTGTGCTCCTCGCTCCTTGTCTGCGACCTGTGTTTCTGTAGTTTCCATCCCCATTATGGCTTCTAAGCATCCTGCTATCTTATTTCCTATCCCTCTCTGCTGAATGAATAAATGAATGCACGCAATGAATTAAATGACCCGGCCACCCCTAATCTAGCCCAAACCCCTGTTCCAGGCAGGGTTATCCCTGTCTAAACCATCCTAGATGACTTGCAGCTTGTTCCTAAAATCTTCTGGGAACAAACCTCACACGCCACTACCCGATGGAATACCCCAACCATCAGAAATGCCCTTTAATTAACTGCGGATAAAGCAGCAGGATGGAAGTACCACCAATATTTAGGAAGTAGCACATCTGCAGCAGGCTGGTGTCTCAACATAGTGTTGCCTGACACTTGGGGATCATTCGGGGTGCTTGGGTGGCCCCCCTGTGCCATCTCTGAGCCAGTGTGCTAGTTCACTTCCATGTTTAGGGCTGCATTTGTTAGTTGACTGATGACTTCCAAGCTCTGAGTTGGTGACAAAGCAGAAGTGTGTGACTGAATGAAACCTTTTTCTCCACTGGATGGTGCTGCTACCCTGGATAGGATCTGTGTCGCCATAGCATAATTCCCCAGGTACAGCTCAGTACAGCAGCACGCCTGAGCTGAGTAGCTTGCAGCTGCAGCCCAGGATGTTGTTAGCTTTCACCTTCTTCATGGTTTCATAGATGTTAGGGGCTGAAAGGGACCTTACAGATCATCGGGTCCAGAGAGCTAATGTCTCTGACAAACGATACCTGAACCCTCCTTTCCATAATTCCTTTGTGGGAGTGAGAACAATGGGTTTATAGATCTAGCACTGGATCTGGAGTTGAATCCTCTTTGTGCTCCTGTCATGGTTTCTTTCTAAATTTAAGGAAGCCACTCTTACTCTGTGCTTGGGTTTTCTTACGTGCAGAATAGAGGGTGATGTGCATCTGCAGGAAAATGAGGATGAATTCACTAGCATCTGTAAAGTGATCTGAGACCCTGTTTTCAAAGGTGCAAAGAAGGAGAAAATGTTAAAAATGACAGGCCCGCAAGGCTCCTGTGTTAGATCTTAGGCTCTTGTTACCTGGTAGCACAAGATTTAAAAAGCCTGTCTGCAGTAGGAAACAGTCCTCACCTTTATGGCACTATAAGAATGTTTATGGCGCCTGGTAATGGTGCCACAGAGACCAAGCAAACAGACATCCCCGTGCCTTGTCATGGCACAAATGTGCAAAGTCTTGCTCTGAAGAAGGTGGCATCAATTTTTGCTGCTTTTTAGTGGTCTGTTTGCTTTAAGGTGGGAGCGTGAGCAGCTTGGAGCTGCCCGCACTCTCCAGTTGCCCTGAGTGAGCATGGCAGAGCTTTACTGCAATCCAGCAACTAGGCATCCCTCTGTTGAAGTTCCCTGAAGGACTCAATCCATTGGCCTTTTCGGAGCCCACCTAATGAGGTGATGGGATTGAGTCCCACACCCAGTGCAGTCGTAACCCTGTTTTCCACATCGGAAAGCCAGAGCTGCTGCCCCCTTTTTATATAATGGCCTGCTGGTTAGGGTGCTTATTTGGGGAGTGGGAGGCCCAGGTTCAGTTCCCTCTGTTGCCTGAGGGAATTTAAATGCACATTTCCCACCTCCCAGGAGAGTGCTCAAACACCAAACTGAATGCTCTTCCTGGAGAAGCTGATTCACATGGTGTCATCAGGATTCATCAGACTAGACCGCATGTGACTGGCTGCACCGGGTGGTTAGGGCACTTTCCTAGGAGATGGGAGCAATGGCTTTGCATCCCCTTAGGCCTAGCTGGAAATTGAATCCAGGTCTCCCACGCCCTAGGCAAGTCCTCTAACCAGTGAATGATTTATTGGGTGGCGCTACTGTGCCATGTCTCATGTTGCAGGTGCTCTCCTCCAGCCAGGTAGGCAGAGGATTATCCAGTTTGTAGATTCCTATTGGGGCTTGGATGTGGGATGGGAGACAAGTTGCTTAAGACTGTCATGGCTGAGATACTTGGGGGGCTTGCTCAGAAGTGGAATTTGAAGCATTTGGGGAATGCTAGTGTTGATTATTCAGACTGGGTCTGTGCTGTGCATCTGGGGAAATTTGCACCATTGCTCCTGATCACATGTGCCAAACCCAGATTTGCAGCAGTGAAGCTTCTCCATGAGGATGGGGCGCATCCCCTGCTTCCTTGCCATTCTGCAGGCCTTTGCCTCTTCTGTGCTTGAGAGCAACCAGAGGGGTGCCCCGGGCTGACTGCTGTGCTTCTGTGTTTGAATGCGAGCTGGGCTAGTCTGGGAGACTGAGGCAGTGCAGGTATGGCCTTGGGAGACTGTACACTTCAGCACAGACAGGGTAAGGTGGCATTTTTCACAAAGCCAGCCTGATGATGCAGGCATGCTCTGAGACATGCAGGCATGTGCCCCTAGACAAGATAGGCAAAGGATCATCCAGTTGCAAAGGGCTTGTGAGCGTCTAAATTTTAGACTTGGGTGCTGAAGTCCTACTGTAGGCATTAAGGTTCTCAGATATAGCCTTTGTTCTTCTGCCCCTTAGTTCACCACCTGCAACTACAGCTAATACTCTTTCCCTTCTCTCAGGGCTTCTGTGAAGGTAAAACCATTCACAATTGTGGTGTTCAACCACAACAGTAATGGGGGCACTAAATAGGCTGGTATCAATGCTGTGTGGAACGAAAGATATTTATTGACTAGACAGAAAGTAGAAATTGACTTCTGGAAAACTAAATGGAGTGTAACAGTTTTGGTTTTCTTTCCTTACCGTAGCCCGTAGAAAGCAGAAGTGGTCTGTGGATCCCAGAAACAGCGCCTGGAGCAAAGATGATTCCAAATTTGGTCAGAAGATGCTGGAAAAGATGGGATGGTCTAAAGGAAAGGTATGGCCTAAATACCTTGGTCTAAAGGGAAGGTAGGCAAAATGTGGCCCACCAGTTGATCCTATCCAATGTCAGGAGCCTGAGGAGGGAGTGCTGTGCCCTGCACCACTCCACTCCACTCTGCCGCAGCAGCGCAGTCTTCTCCACCTCCTTCATCCACCCCCCAACCCAGGTTCCTGCTTGCAATGTGCAGTCCTGGCACCCTGGCTGCCAGCAGCCGGCCCTGCACAGGGTGGGGCATGATGCAGCACACCAAGTAGCTGTTCTGCCCACTTGCTGCCCAGCCACCCCCAACTTGCCTGGCGTGGCAAGACAGCAGCAGCTCATGGCATCAGGTGGGCAGGATGGCTATTCGGCATGCTGCATTGCACCCTGTCCTGTGCAGGCCCAGCTGCCAGGAACGTGCAGCACCAACAGGAAGCCGGGGGGTGGATGCTGGGGGGTGAAGGAGTCTGCACTATATGGCCCAGACCTGGCAGAGTGGAGTGGTGCGGGGCACAGCCCTCCCTCCTTGGGCTTCCAGTGGGCCAGAGGGTCAAATAGGTTCAGTTGGCATCTCCCAGCCCCATCTCTGGTCCTCAACAGCTCACCAGAACTCATTAAGTGACCCTCCAGCCCAAATAATTGCCCACCCCTGGCATAAAGGGAAGATAGTGTTAACAGAAAAAGCAGACTCTCAAGTGTTGTGGATTTAGAAGCACTTGCAGCGACATTATGCTTGAGAGCACTAGGTACCAGAACTGCAGGCAGTTCTTGGTCCTTGTGTTTATAGGGCTGGGTCCTTGATATTAGGTACTTTTGTTACCCCACCACTTAGTGACTTCCACTTTTCTTGAGCTTCCTCACTTTCTTTTCTTCTCTGCTGTCGCATGGATAAGACAGTGACACAGATAAGAGCCAAACTAGGTACCACTCAGGTGTGGTTTGTTGTACCTCCTAAATTCTGGTGCTGGCCTTTATTGTGAGAGAAAGAAGCACCAGAAAGCTGTTCTAGTTTCTCACAGCTTTTAATGCCTTTATCTCCCAGATTAGTTTGGGTGTCGTGTCAAGCTATATCCTTTCCTCTCTCCAGCCCACTGCTGTGGAGGGTTATAAAAGGAGGCCTGTAACCTCATGATGCTAGAAATATTCTCCTCTGGTCAACAAAGAGAGCTCTGTTGCCTCTTTCCATTGGCGGGGGGGGGGGGGGGGCTGCTACAAAGGGGCCTGCTCAGAGCCCAGAACCGTGATCTCCATCTCGTCAGCATTTCCTGGTGCTTGGTTATGTGAGCAAGCAGAGTGACAGAGAGAATGGTCTGGGTTCTTTTTTTTTTTAAAGTATATCTCAGACTAGTCATTTCTCTTCTTTCATTTAGAAACAAGGAGTAATCGTTGTAGCATACTTGAGCTTAGGATATTTGCAGAACTCAAGCTGAATTCTGTGAATAACTACCCCTTGACTTGAAAAGGTCTGTTTAAAAAAAAAAACGTAGCTGATGACTTTTTAACTGCTTCTGATGTTGTACCTAGTTAGTTCCAGGATCAGAATTGCACACAGACAGTAGCATGTAGGGTAGTGGTTCCCAGTGTTTCCAGCCTCTTGACTTTGCTTCCTGCTGACTTGCAAGCCCAGTTGGGCTGTGACTTCTATAGCTGAATCCCTGACCCTGTTTGGAAGTGCTTGAGACTGCTTTGGGAACTGCTGGTGTCGAGTTAGATCCAAGGGCCACTGGTACCAATGAGCCTTTCTGTTGGCTTTGGTAGGCTTTGGATCCTCAGCCCTTAGATTGCTAATTAATGAACATCTTGATCTGTAAGCACAAACACACCCTTGGTAGCTGTTCTCGTGTCACGTAAAAATAGCTCTGACGGTCATTGAATTCAAAACACAAATTGAAAGGATGCTTTCAGATGTTTGATTGCCCCACAGATGAAATCACATTGGCAGCAAATGTATCTATGGCAGCAGCTGCGTTTTTACCATTATAGATGGGTGATTTTTTTTCCTCCTGTTTCCTCAGCATTGCTGTAGGACCTTCCTGTCCTACACTCCCAAAAGAACTGGGATGGGAGGGGCAGCAGTTACGGCATAGACCCAATATATAGCATAAATGGGACCAGGGCTGAGCTGAATCAATGGGCTTAAGTCCATCTGTGCTGCAAACTGGAGCTGCATATGCCTGTCTCTTCAATTCTCCTCATTAGCATTAAGTTAGAATTGGGACAGGATGAATGTGTAGCTAGGTCTCCTGCCTGCTGTCATGTGGATGTGACAATAGACCTTGCTGTCTGGCAGGAGGAGGATGCATTGGTTTCACAGTCGAGCTGGTATTATTTTCGAAACAAACTGCAGTGAGTTGCATCCATGCTAGCAACATATTTAAATGTGGGTTGTTGCACTATATAATAAAAGCATTCCCAGACTCCAACTGCAGGTCCCTCAAATACCACAATATGACCAAGTTGCAGGGGCATGTGAATTCTCCTTATCTGTTTGGCTAGGAGAGAGTATAAGCAGGTCAGGGAATGAGGTCTTATCCCTGGTTGACACTTGGGCTAAAGCCTGATAATCAAACATAATCTGAGAGAGATTGCTTTGTTTTCGCTTACAAGTTGGACATTGTATTTTGTTTTTCCTGGTCTTTGTTAGCTAACCACCACCCAGGCAGTGACTGCATTTCTGTGGTGAGAGAAACATTCTGGCAAGTTGTCTCCTGTCTTTAGGGTTACAAAGCATCCCCTGGAAATGTAAGGTGGCTTTTTGATTAATCATTAACTCCTAATAATGATGTTGTTTTGCTGTTGCATGTATTTTTTTGGAAGCTTAAACTATAAATGCAAAATACACGATATCGTGACAGTGTACTAAAGCCTGTGCATTAAATTGCAGGAAAGCAAACACTAGCAATTAAGTGGCGTTTCCAGCTATATTACTAAACATTTTTTTCGCTCCACATGGTACCAATCTACAGTGTTAATTCTACATTTGAAAACTGCTTACAGGTTGCTTTAAATTCTTATTAGGGTCTTGGGGCTCAGGAACAAGGAAGCACAGAACATATCAAGGTTCAAGTGAAAAACAACACACTTGGGTTGGGAGCTGCCATCAGTTATGAGGTAAGCAGAAGTTAACATCATTGTTGGTCCAGGTAAGCAAGAAAGTCCTGCACTTAAGATGGAACAATCCCATGTACTGCTACAGGCTTGGGACCAACTGACTAAGCAACAGCTCTGCAGAAAAGGACCTGGGGGTGACAGTGGACAGTAAGATAAATATGAACCAACAGTGTGCCCTTGTTGCCAAGAAGACTAGCAGCATACTGGGCTGCATTGATAGAGGTGGTGCAGGCAGATCGAAGGAAGTAATTTTCCCCCTCTTCTGCACTGGTGAGGCCACATCCGGAGTCCTGTGTCCAGTTTTGGGACCCCCACTACAGAAAGGAAGTGGACAAGTTGGAAAGAGTCCAGTGGAGGGCAGCAAAAATGGTTCAGGGGCTGGGGGACATGACTTGTGAGGAGAGGCTGAGGGAACTGGGCTTATTTAGTGTGGAGAAGAGAAGACTGAGGCAGGATTTGATAGCAGCCTTCAGCTCTCTGAAGGGCGATTCCAGAGGGGATGGCACTGGACTGTTCTCAGTGGTGACAGATGAAAGAACAAGGAGCAGTGGGCTCTAGTTGCAGCAAGGGAAGTTTAGGTTGGATTTTAAGAGAAACTTTCTCACTAGGAGAGTGGTGAAGCACTGGAACAGATTATCTAGCGAGGTGGTGGAGTCTCCATCCATGGAGGTTTTTAAGGTCTGGGTGGACAAAGGCTTGGCTGGGATGATCTAGCTTTGAGCAGGGGGTTACACTAGATGTGACCTCCTGAGGTCCTGTCAACCCTCATTTTCTATGATTCTAAGCAGGTGTCTCCCCTAAGAGATGTTTGAGAAACCCTGTAGGTAGCATGAAGTTAGTGGAATTTGTAATCATTCTCATTACTGTCTTGATGCAGAAGGGATACATTGCATAAATTCAGGCTCAGACCAGATGTTTTCTGATGGGCTTTCCTGGGGTGGGCATGAGTTAAGGGAGGTACAATGAGTTATAGAGACTAGGTTACTCAATGTGGTCCCTTCCAACACAGACCTGAAATATTTTTCTGGCTGGTTGCTATCCCTTTGTCCCCTGTCCTTGTGCTTCCTGCCCCTATTCCTGAAACAGTCTTCATCTCCCATTGGTTTTTTGGGGTTTTAAGGACCCTGCAGGATTGGGCTGCAAAGATGCTCTCTCTGAGTCAACATCTTAAATGAGCTCATACCTTCTCATCTTTCAGGCTGCAGGAAAGTCATGTTAGCATTTCCTGCCTGCAGCTGAGAGCAGCTTGCCCAAACTAGCACACGCGGAGCCAATAAAGGCTGAGTATTGTTTGAAGATGTTCAAACACCATTCTTATCAGTCAGGCACTTTGGATTGAACTTAGCCAGCTGCCATCAGTCTATCCACCCAGGGAATTCTCTGGGGTTCCCCTTGCTAAGTGGTCCTGTATCTGGAACTCCTTCACTATAGTTAACTCTGGTTGTATGGAGTCTCAAGGAGCGCAGCCAGACTTTGCTGTGGTTTTTGGTAGGGTAAAAGCTCTTGCTTTGCATTCACTTGGGTTCTGTTTACAGGACAACTGGATTGCTCATCAGGATGACTTCAACCAGCTTCTGGCTGAACTGAATAGTTGCCACGGACAAGGTGAAACAGGTATGTTAATACTTTGCTGTTCTGAGACTTGCCATTCTTTCTGTGCCTTAAAAAGCAACTTGGGGCCCAGTCTGGATGGCTGATCATTTCTTCTTTCATGATACTGATGCCTCTTCATACTTATTAAGATTGATGGTAGTAGAGGGGCATTATGTCATAGGGCCAAGCTTTAGCTTACTTTTCATGTGGCTGTGGAGAATGATACCTGTTGCAATAGACTTTGGTGCATTTTGGATTGGGCCCTTCTAGCAAAGAATGGTTCTTCACTAGACCTGGGAGCCTGGAATTGTTCTTCTGGGATGTCAGGAGCCGCAGTCATCTACTTCAGTATTTCTCAGCCCATGGGTTGTGATCCAAAAGTGGGTTGCAAAAATATATGAAAGAGTCATGAACAAACTTTAAAAATGGATGCTCCTTTAAAGGAGAAAAACGAAGGAAACTGTTGGCTTCTCTTTGCAGGCTGGCAGAGTTCCTGCCTGCAAGGGGCTGCTTGGGCCTGGGGGGAGCAGGAGGAGGGTGATCAGGCAGGGGCTTCCATGTACATATGCACGCACACACATGCGCATGGCAGCCAGGCAGTGTGGAAAGCAGCTCCTGCAGCTCCCCACAGGTAAGTCTGTAGGGTGGGGGTATAGGTGATGCACTGAGGGGGCAAGGGGGGCATAGGTGATGTGTCGAGGGAGCAAGGGGGGCATGGGCAATGCATCAA